TCCTCGCCTCTTCATCTTTCAAAATTGTAATCCACATCGTCACACAAGATCTCGCACGATCCCGAACAAAAGCGTCTGAGGGAGGCCGGATCCCCGATCATCGCAGCCCGGGAGACAGATATCACAAAGATCGAAACCGCTGTTCTCATTGTGGGTCCCGGAAACACACGGATCTGGATTTTTGGAAGCGTCTGATATGTGAAAAATGTGGGAAGAGAGACCACCCGACGGATCGCTGTCTGTATGCGTGTCGTGGATGCGGGGACGTTCATGAGGCAGGAGAATGTCCCATGGAAGAATTCTACAACAAGATCCACAAATGGTATGATCCAACCCGACACGCCGGGCTGTTCCCCGAACAAGTCGAGAAGCTGTTAAACTAGGACGCAAGCCGGGGTGGAATCCGGTACGAGCCGAGCGTTCTAGATATTGCATCTACACCTATGTGAACAAGGCGACGACAGATCGAGGTAGGAAGGAGTTGGATCTACGCGGTAATACATGTAATTTGCATTCGTATACCGCCAAAATCGCGAGCCTCCCTCAGATGAGCGAATTCAGCAGATTTAATACGGAAGTGGCCTTAGATCTCAAAAGAGGAGAATCCCGGGGATATTGGAAACGTGATGCACCGGGAAAATGGTTCCGACAAGCCAAGATCTCAGGCAGGATCAATCAACCAAGGGTGGTCCTGCTCATAGACACTAGCGCTGAGGTATCAATCTTGGATACCATCTTTGCTCGTAAGGTGGGATGCAATTTTGACACTAGTCAGAGACAGAAATGTGTGGGAATTGGTGATAACGTATATACTACGGAAGGAAGAACCAGGATCAAGATCACTTTAGCGGGATATCTGGTGTATGTTTTCGACATCTGGATCGGAGATCTCTCAGGACAGAACATGATCCTGGGCATGAATTTCATGGTCCCATCCGGAGTACGGATGGACCTCGCCGACGGATCGATGCGATTACCTGACGAGTTTGGAATACCGCTTAATGGTCGTAAGCGATTGTATGGCGAGAAGGTGAGATCAGTGATTCTCGAACAATCTCTATGAATCCCGGTTGACCAGTCGGAAGAAACAGCGCGAATCAAATTGTCGGTCACCGAGAAACCGTGGGTGACCAGAGGAGAACGATGGGTACCGACTATGACGGAAGGCCCCGGTCGGATCCGCTACCTGGTGGTCCCGAACATTGGAGAAGAGATCCTACGGCTGGACCACCGTCTGGACGTTGGTATGATACTGGATCAGGACAAAGTGTCCCGATCCCCAGGGTTCGTGTCCGTGGGGTCACGTCGCTACCGGGAATGGCAGAATCTGGTATTGGAATCGACGGTGGATACTAGATCGGAGCCTCCGGAACTTATAGAGGACCTTGCGGAGCCGGCAGTACAACGACCATAGTATCCCACGCCCCGACCGATACTTCGCCGGACAGAATTCGCTGATATTCGAACGTTGATATCGACCTAGAATATCGACCGAGGGCGGGAATTGGACGCAACCCAGATCGAACCAGAATCGCCCGATCCAGAAAGAGGACGACGTCCATCTACGCCAACGACTAGCCCCGATGCCGATCGATACCTGAGCGGCGATGATGAGGGCGGCGGGACAAGTGGGAGCATGCCGGACCAGGCCACCCAACGGACGGACACCAAGGATATCAAGGCGGAAAATCGGACTGTCATCAAGAATATCGAGCCGAAAAAGGAAAATTTGAATTGTCAAAGCCAGATCAAACTCGATCCCGGCGAAGTCTTCGATGTCAAATCCCCGATCCACCCGACCGATGGCGTCGACCAACGAGATCCGCTGGCGGAAGGAACAGCAGCGACACCCCACAGGATGCCGACGACGAGGATATATTACAACGAGAGTCGCGATCTCTCGGCTGAAGATCTGGAGAGAAACCTTGCTGCCCTCCCCGAAATCCCGATCTCGACGACCGCGAAGGTCAGCATCGAGGATCTGCAGGTGGGAGACTCCGGGTCGGCCACACCCGAGGAGATCGAGAAGTTCCGGCAGATCATTCGGAAGAAACGACACCTCCTCATCGGCAAAGGGAACGCCTTACCCCCGGCGGTCAAAGGCGTCGTGTGTGACATCGATGTCGGAAATGCGAAACCGATCGTACTGCGAACCCGGAAAGTGCCCACGTGATTTCGAGAAAACGTCGCACACCTGATAAAGGTCTCCTGGCAGCCGAGATCATCCGACCCTCGACATC